CTAATATATAATATATATATATATATATATATATATATATATATATATATATATATATATTTAGGGATTTTGTTTTTTCTTATAATTTGTACATTCATTCATTCATTTATTATACACATTCATTTATTATAGAATATAATATTATATAATTATATAGAATATAATATAATTATATAATTATTCCTTCTTTTATTAAAAATTATTATTGATCACTTTTATTTAATAAGTATGAATTCATTAGGATTGTTGTATGTGTTTTGCATTTTATATATCCAAAATCTCTTTTAGTTTTATTCGATATTACTTATCCATCTTCGCATGGCTATTACGGTGTACTCATGGTGCTTTTGTGCATGTGACATATATTTGTTCTTCGTCTTGGAATACGCGTTGAATTTCGCGTTTCATGCAAGCAAAATCATTTAAAAATTGCACATTTAAATGAGATTTTACTTGCAACTAGTAAAAACATAGCAATGCGTTTATGGAACTGATATAAATTCGCGTTGCTTTTCTGAAAAGCTTGTTTCCATAAAAATAATAATTTATAATTGTTAATATATATTCTCTCTTTTACATAACTCTAAATTTATAAAATATATTGTGGAATATATTTGGAATCATGAAAATTTGAATAGTAATTTGGAAAAAAATCGGTATAGAAAGACAACGATGTTTATAAGAAAGTAAAAGATATATGTTTAAATTGGATTATTTAACAGAAAGCAAGATAAATTATTTCTAATTTTATCGATCGTTATATTCTTTATTTTTTGCGAAATATATTCTCAAATCTAAAATTCTCTCTCATATTTTGAGATATGCTTCGTTTGTAATTGAATACAGCAAGTAATTTTCAAGCTTTTATATGGTGATTATTAAAAGGAAAGAAAACCGCTTTATGGAAGAATAGACTTGCGCGGCGTAAATATAGACATAAATGTAGAAAGAAAAATAAACTGATAGCGCGAAAAGAGAGTTTGCTCATAATATCATAATTGTTTTGAGACTAAATCTCATTTTGGTCTACTAATGTTTTCGGAAATTAATCTAAGAAAAAGAAAAATAATTCTACTAGAAATTGTATGAATGATGAATTATTTACTTTCTTTAGATAATTACTAAATGATTAAATTACATATATAATTAAATATATCAATTTTTTATAAAAAAGTATACGATTTTACTATGTAAAATATATATTTCTTATATAATAATTTTTATAACTATTATTCCATTAAATATTTATTTAACAAACATTAGTCGTTTAATGTCAAATAAATATTTCTATATTTTTATAAAAATAAAATTTTATGAATTGTAATAAAATCATTTGCATTGATATTTTATTATATGTGATATGTTAAAAAATAGTTTATTTTATTTTAGGTTTTAATTTTAGGTTTTAAAATTTGAAGTAATTAATTAATTACATTTATATTAATTTATTATTAGGTATTAAGGTAAATTAATTTATTACCTTTGACCCTGTTAATATATTGTTAAATCTACGAATGTTTTATTATCATAAAAAATTCAGATAAGCATAAAATTTATATTTGCATTTAAATCACGCGGATGTTATTAATTAGAAAATTAGAAGTTAGAGTCATCGACAATGAATATTCTCTTAACGTAAATTTTTGAAAATCTGACAAAAAAACTTTAGAAGTTTGCAATTGCATGCATGTTTCGTTAATGAAAGAAAGAAATAATCTTTGGAGACGCTTTTGACTCTTCGTGGTGGCACGATTACCTTAGGGTTGAGGTCGCTGCCTTGTTGCATAAGTGTGCCGACCGTAAACCAAAAACTGTTGGCCAGGCTGAACTCGTTGACAGTTCTCAGTAGAGGAATGTCGTCGCTGTCCGGATCCAAGGCGCTCACGTGACTACCCTGATAACAGTGTGACAACCCTCGCCGAGTGGTGCAATTTTAAAATTAATTACACTAGTTCTACTTAACTTATAGTTAACGTCATATTAATTTTATATATTATTTTGTATTATTATATACAGACATTTGATCATGTTATAAAAGATAGAAAATGCAGATGTAAAATAATTCTGATAATTTTATACTTTACATAGATACATAGGTATTTATCTGGAAAATAAAACTTTTCTGTTACATAAAATGTATTTACTTTTGTATGTCATTAATGGAGTGCTATATTAAAACGCGTTATTGCATGTTAATTTATCGTTACCTATTTGTTCAATATTTATAATATGAAATTGCGGGGCTATTAAAGCTCATATAATAAAACCATAAAATATAGAATATTTGAAGCAATTAATTCAACTTTAAAATCACTTACTGAACATTGTTAGCTATATTTTATTATTTTTCAGTGAGTTAAGAATTTATATAGAGTCATTACATTTAAAGAAATATATAATGTGCTTTATAATTATGATGTATTCGATCGATCGCTTTTTGCACCACTCGACGTGAGCCTACCTGCAAGGGACATTTGCAGCTTGGGCAAGGGGACGGTTCCACCCATTCATGGGGTGAGAATCTTGCCACTATCCAAATCGTTAAGGAAACCATCATGTAAGCGCCTAGCAAGGACAACCAGATCTCCACGGCGAGGGGAGTCATGAACGAGAAGAGCCGCGGTGGCGTGCGTTTGGTCACCTGAAGCAATGACGTTTGTTTTGATATTACTAATCTGCGAGAAATCTAATTTGATTGACCTGATTCGATGTTGAAGACGAGATTACGATGTATCGTGAAACACAATGTTCATGTCCAATCGCCGCATCTTGCTGAAAAATAATTCAAAAGCGCGAGTTGCTTATAACTTTCGTGCCGTTTTCTTACACATCCCAGTCTCTCAAATGGCTTGAAAGACGATTCTTTATTTCGATGGAATTACAAGAGCGTATTATTCTCCGGCGCGTCGGGCGGAACACAATGGCGGTGCGCTCTAAGTGCAATCGTTGTACGTGCTGCTTTATTTTTTAACGAGAGATTGCTAACACCGTGAGAGGTAATCGAGATTGGATTTTAAGATGCACAATCCATTGCTGCGATAAAAAAGCAGTAATATATTCCAACTAATTTAATTTATAAGTTTAATGTTTGTGTAATCTGTTTACTGAAGGAAGATCCCTTTTCGAATAATGCAGTTATATTAAAATAATGCATCATGATTTTCTTTAATCTGAAAATAAAATAGAAAACGCGTCATGCTTTATAAAAGATTTCAAGATATTACTGTAACAATACCGCTTCAAGATTTGCCCAATCGTTTTGCTCGCAGTTTTGGAGAGCGTCTCTGTAATATTGCAAATATACGATCCGCATAAACAGATATAAACGAATTGACGTGTGCCCTGCAAACATGCATCTACTCTGTTTGTACTTCAACGAGATGATGGATTTATGTGCATTCTGTTCCGAGTAACGTTCGGGAGCGGCGAACGGTGAGAGAAACGGGCGAGCATATCGGATAAAGGGATATCCCGAGCGGCGAACAGTGCGATCGGTGAGGAAACGCGCGATAGAAGTAGTCCAATGGTGGAGCACTTCGTTGAGTATACCTTAGGGTTGAGCCCGCTGCCTTGTCTGAGGAAGGTGCCGGTGATGAACCAGAAACTGTTGCTGACGGTAAACTGGTTCTCGACCACGTCGCTCTCGGCCAGACACGGATGCGGATTGTTCCACTCGTATGGGCTGAAGCGCGCCATCACGAAGAGAGTGAAGCTCACGAGCATGTAGGCGGCGAGCACGTAGAGCCAGATCTCGACCGCCAGTGGGTTCATGAAGGAGAAAAGCCGTGTCGGCTGACTGGACGGCACCTAAATTACGTCACGCTACGATTTTAATTAAAACGGATCCCGTTTCGTGGTGCGACGCGACGCGACGCGACGCGACGCGACGCGGCACGGTGCGACGCTGCGAGCCGACACGAGTTAACTTTCACGACGATCCTGGGCATTCAAAGGATCTTTTTGCGAATATTCGTTGAAAAAAGAGAATTTGCGAGACGCGATGTAGATTATTTGCTGTAGATTAATTTCTTTTGCACGCTTAACTGGACTCACGCTTAATTATAATATACAAACTTATTTTGCATATTTTGACAAACGCACAATAATTAAAGTACCTATTTCCTCATTATTCAGTAGGCTATAATGGTGGTTACATGAAAATTACTTTTATTAATATATGCTAATGTAATACATAAACTGAAATACAGTATAATCAAAAATTAAACATTAGAAAGGGTAAACACATGTATTATTTATGTATTGATAGAATGGTAATGATGATTATGATCATGTTACATGCACATATACATATATTTGAAAAATAACAGCTAATACACGGTGTTAACTCACCTTAAATAAGATTCCAATTCCGAGATTCATAAACGGCTTTGTGAAATCTATTACGCTTTCTCTGGCATAATTAATCGTCATGGAAGCAACCGCTAGATCCGCCCTCTGAAAGAATTACAGTATCCAAGAGAATTAAGGAAATTTAATTTTTCTTGGTAAAGTTGAAATTTAAGTACAAAAACAAAGACAGAGTTTATAATATCACTGGAAGTAATAGAAATTAATATTGTATAAGAAAATATTGCTTTCGTTAAAAAGAGAATTTGAATTCGTTTTGTAGAATATTTTCCTTTGAACAGACAATAAAAATAATTAAGGCCTCGTAAAATGCCTTCACCAAGTATTTTCTAATATGTCAGTGCATCATGAACGAGAGCATTTTAAATTACTGATAAATCTTCGTTCCATGTTTACCTTGAATGAAATAGCGGGTGCATTCTTTATGAATGTGCGAGCGTCGCAAGCTATGAAGCACCATTCGCGTCATCTTCCGTTTTAGAATATCCGCCTACGCTTTCGTAGGTTTCCAGGTTAAGGCGTCGTCTCTTTTCACAAGAGGCAGATTGCTTTGCATGTTTTATAAACTGCTGATCTTCGGTATTCAGAAAGCTGGGAAGACGAGCCGCGAATTTTGCGAGGTATTCTTTTTTTTTTGATACTTTTGCGACATATACTTTTCATTGATGTTAATTTTTTGGAAAAATTTGATGTTATATTAAATTATTCTCCCTTTCCTCGTTAATTGTGCGATACCGTATCGTAATATAAATCGTAATATAAATAATAAGCTTCTAGTTGTTTTAACAAAAATATTTGATATATTAAAATATATTTTTATTATTGTATGCGATTTTATGTAACAAAATACTACTATCATATATGAATATATTTAATAAAAAATTAAGTAATTTAGACAATAATAAAATTGGATATTTACATTGGAAAACTGTTAATAAATATGTAATATGATGTATATACCGATATTATCAGTTCTGTATTCAAACATTTGAATTATCAAACGAAAGCAAAACATTATCTCGCACGAGTGCGTATATTAGATGCTTAACATAAATACAACAAATTGCGTATGTACAACAATTACACATACGATATGTATCATATAATCTCGCGTATATTGTATAAAAACGATATACTTTAATTAAATATTTGAATTGTTAACTATATCCATTTTTATATTATATTTTATGACTGAAATATTATTGCAAATATTAATTTTTCAACTGGCCATTAATGGATTTTCTTTAAATATAATATAATATTACATTGTGCGTGTATATTTAAATATTTAAAACTCATCAAAAAATTATCAATATTTTTAAAACTACAGAGCTCCATTCAAATATGTTTTTGTGCCAATAATATTTTTACACAGTAATTATAAATGCGACTTCTTGATGAATAATTATTTTTCTTTTATATACGTATATTTATCGTTTTATTTGTTTATAACGCTTCTGCATTTTTATCTTTCGGTGATGAAACTTGAAATACAATAAAGATCTTTTTAGAGATTTCTTTTTTCCGATGCATTAACCGTTTATCGATAATGTTTTCTGTTTTTCGTTGGAGATATGTATATGTGCATATATTTTTCCTTCCTGTTAAAACCTGCATAGATGCGATCACGAAGAAACAGTGCGAATGTGGGGAGAACTATTTCCTTCCGGTAACGGAAAGACAACATTTACCTTCTCTGGATATATTTTCTTCTGAATAACGTGAAAAAGTCAGAATTATATTAAAGTTTGAAAATATGTTATTGACATTGGAAAAGGAGTGAGAGAATTTTTCTAAATTTTTTTAATTGTTAATAAACATTTTTGTTAAAATAAAAAAGATAAAATAAAAAATAAAAAATTCAAACAGCAGAAATGTTAAAATAATATTTAGTGATTCTGTTTTTCTATAAGCATAATAATCAAATAATCAATAATCAATAATCAAAAGATAAATGTTCCGCAAATTTTGGTTTATAAGCTATATTTTCTGAAACACATATATTAATATCAAATTTTCATCACATATATGTTTATTTAATTGTAATATGAAATTAAATAATATTTTGTAAGAGTAAATATCAATATGTTTTATATTGGAAATTTAGTTGCAAACTTGCATCACTGGCGTTTCTATCTCACTGTTCAAGGGGACAAAACTTCGAATAAAGTTTGATTATATAATAAATGTAAAATATCTTTATTAATTTTAATTTTTTTAACTAATTAAAATCATAGCATATACAACTATTATATGGTATAAATGCACTGTAAAATGTCAGTATATGTTTATTAATTTGATTATAAATATTGTTCTAATTTATTGATTGTGATATTGCAATAATTAACCGAGGTTCCAATCTGTTGCGGTTATTGCATGTACATCTACTCGATCATGCAGACAATAATGGATCGACGACACAAATTAAATTTGAAAGACGCTCGAATGCACATACATCAAATTTCGATTTTAATAACTGCAGAATTTTACAATTCAAATGACAGGAAGCAACATCTGCGAGCTAATCTATGAATCGAAATATTGAGTACCGTCGTTTGACTGTGAGAAAAATAGTTAATCCAGGTGATTCTTGTATCCGACTACAGGCGTAATGAAATTCCTCGCAGGATGGATTTATTGCGACACGCTCGCGGAAATTTACTTTGCTTTGCATGTAAAATCGGCCTCTTGGGTTGCATTCTCGTTCTCGTTCACCTATCTCCATATTTTTCCTAATAAATATCAATTTCATGCTTCCACAATTTCAACAACAATATTAACTCAATGCGGTTTAAATTAATTTCGACAAAGAATATAATATTAATATTTACTATTGTTTTTATATTATCACTAACATAATTATTGATTTGTATTTTGTTAAATATTTTATAGAATTTTAAAGGTGAAATAACTATATAATTATTTATTGTATATAAAAATTACAAAAATAAAAAGTTTATATAATTATTATGTTAAATTTAGATTAATGTACATTAAAGATACAAATATTTAATTAATTTAATTTTTCATGACATTATTTATCAAATTTTTCTCCTATTTCATACAACATTATTGAATAAAAAACCAGGTACATATTAATTATTAAATTATGTCCGTTTTATTGATTGGTTTATTGTTTATTTATCATGCAAAACGTTGCGAGAATAGAAAACAAGATATCACATATTGTATCTTACCTTGTCCATGAGTTCGCGCACGATTCCATTCCATTCTTTCGTCTCAGGATCGTACACTCCGTACATGTGATCAGGCACCAATTTGATTGCGTATTGGAAACCAACCTGACCAGCAATCCACTTGAGCAAATCGATGCAGAAGCCCTCAAATCTCGCGTTACCAGTCAAATTCTTGTCTTCTTTCACCATGACATAGGGTCTTTCCTGTGGAAGATTGGATCTCATTGATAGATCCTAGAGATCCGTGCTCATTGTGATAGGGTAGGATAGAAGCAAACCCTTAAAAATTCTTATTTCCGTGCGAGAAAGATATATCAAAGGGTAGGAAAGAAATCTCTGTTCAATGCGAATATATAGCTTTGATCGCTTGTCCCTCAAACATTTCCTTTTCCCGAACACTACCATGAATTTTTCATTTTTCTGGGAATACACAATAACGTTCATAAAATGTTTCTTTGATAAACTAAAATTTTTCTTTGATACAACAATCCGCGATTTTTTGCTATTTTCTTTGTTTACAATTCTTTAAATTGCTCTTAAATCTTTTATTTTTAAAAATAATATTCAATTATAAATTATAAATCTGTTATGCGTTTAACATGTATAAACGATCCTTAATATCTATTAACACATAATTATTTTTAGAAGCGATATTTAATATAAAAATATCAAAAAATTTTGAAACAATTTAATACACTATTACAATTTACAGAGAGCTAAGAATACTCTTTGAATACATTTTGAAATTATTATTTTGATTAAATATGAACATCATTTTATCTCTATGTAAAATAATATAACAAATTTATCTATATTTAGAATAGCTATATTTAGAACTATATTTAGAATAGCTTTCATATCACATCATGTGATTCATACTCACGTAGTATCATACTTAATAATTAATTCTAGCGCTACGAGGCTTGCAAATGTGACTAAATTGGGTACAAGATATCATTACCTCTCTCGTCATCACCACCAGCGTAATGTTGGTCATCGTGGTCTCGTAAAAGGCGCCTAGATCCGTGATGTTAATACCAGATCCGGATTTCCATTCGCCGACTTTAACGAGCTCCTCTTTTTTCAGTTTTAAGAGATCTAGCTTGAAATTGTTTCTCTTCCCTTCATTGAACTCAATATGGCCGGTTAGTCCGTGTAAGCCTGCCTGCAACAGAAACACTCGTATAAATTTAAATCCAAGTTAATTAGATTTGTCCATTAGTTTTTCATATAACGTGATAACAGATAAATAATAGATAATAGATAAATGGAGACATATCTTTTACTTTATATAAATTTTCTTATTTATTCTTAATCGCTGAGTAAAATTTAACAGAATAGGGAGATAGTATAATAAACTTTTCGCTTTCATGAAAATGCATGCGGTTTAGCCATATAATTCTTCGAAGTTTTATATCTCTACTATTTAAATATAGGTAGAATGTCGGATAAAAAATTATATTTTTATGTAAAATAATGTAAAATAATGTAAATAGTGGTCTCTCGTGAAGAGATAATAATATCTCGAAGTTGTAACTAATATTCGAAACATTACGAGACTGGATATGCTGTTCGAACGGACGCTAAATAAAATACGAAGATCGAAAAATAATAAAACTTTATACGCAACATTATACTGATAACTGTTTAATAACGAATGCAGCCGGATTCACCGTTCGTTAAATCATGCGCGTGTCTGATTCTCGTTAAATTTATTTTTCCTCCGTGTCCAGTAGCTCACGAATACGCACACACGTATACGATTCATTGCTGATGGCCTACATTTCCGAATGCATATAGCCGGCAAAATTTTTCGCATTAATTACCATTTGTGGTCTACCGGTGGTTTGCCCATAGTTTATTTGATTTACGTCTTTTTTTAAGTGTACATTCATTTGCGAAGTTGATAGAATATTATTTATGGAAAATGCGTTTCTTAAACTCTTGATTTTTATCCCCAATAAAATAAGATAAACTTTATCTAAAAATTCCCAATTTTTTAGTAAACATTTGCATTGTTTTATTAAATAAATAATTTACAGCGTTTCGAATGTGCCTCACAATTTTCCAAATTTGCAGCTTTATAAATTTATAAATCTTTTGGTACTATAATTTGACTAATATATGTGTAGTTCTACTTTCTAGATATATCTCGTACTATTTCATTCGTAATCTGAATTTAATCGAGGATGCTGTGCGGAATGTGGAAATGCGAGTGAGTTTATTACGCAAAAGAAATAAAGCGATCAATATCTCATCTTCATTGAGAATTCAAATCAATTCAGTTGGAGTTTTGTATGGATATCTCGTTCACATATTGTTCAATTCACTGTGCAACAGAAAAAACCCAATTTAAAGAAAAATTTACTTGTTATATAACATCTTTTATGTCTTTATGAAAAAGATCTTATACACAGATATACAAAAATATTATTAAAAATATTATATAATGAAAGCATAATTCACACTGATAAAAAGTAATTATTAAAAGAGTATTATGTTATTCAAATAATTTCAATCGCATTGAAAAATACATTTAAATTGTATTAAAAGTTTACGATATGAATTTATAAATAATTAGTGCAAAAGCTTAATGACAAAAGCCAATGCACAGAAGTACATACGCTTTTCGTTCATTCGCACTTTGTGCAAACGATGTAATTTGTAATTGTCATCGATGTAATTTTACAATCTTACACTGTGAAATGTATACTCGAATTATATTTCGCAAGAAATCGTCTTCCATTAACCTGGCATGAGAATTTCAGAAGTGATTCAAACAACTAGGATTTTTTTCGTGCTGTCATCAGCAGTATTGCGATCGTACGATGGATCGATGAATCTCCGTCGCGATATCTCGTCAGCTTCGACATCGACGAGCCGGTTCGCAAAATCAAAAATACGCCGATGTTGGCGAAACAAATAGTAAGCGCGCCGGAAGTAACCGGCGCGGCGGTTCACGGTACCGCATGTATTTTCGGTACTCAATGTACTCTCGCTCAACGAATACGCACGTTAATTACGCTTTACGTGCGACGATGCATCACGCATGTAACACCATTACATACGCACGCATTTTATACAACAGAATACATAGCTCAGGATATTTTGCGGAAACACGTTGCGATGTACGAGTATACCTAAAAAAAAAAGAAAAAAAAGTACGTAAAACTAACGTTTATAAAAGATTGATACGAAATATCCGGATTGCCCACTGTAGAATATATGTTTTTCCTATTTTCATTTCATTTTTGTCAAAATGTTTTTTTTTTCAAAGCTAAGCAAATAAAATATTTAGTACAAGAGAGAAAAAATGATTAATGCGTTTTAAAGAATAAAAATTGTTTATTAAAAAGAAAGATGGAAGTTTCGTTTTCAAAAGCTGATTTTGGAAGACATTAAGTGATTTAAAAGTAATATAATTTATAAAAGAATATGTATTTAATTAAACAGGAGATCTTACTTTCTACTAATATATTCTTGTTTACGTCTTTAGTGAACTATCGAGAG